AAAAAATAACTTTATAAATGTAGACAATTCAATGGATAAAATAGCCGAATGGCTAGAAAGAGCACCTGTTTGTTGGAGCTCATCGGTGGTTCATCCAGAACAAGGCTGCTTTTACGGAGAAGTCCGCCTACCTGACGCCCACGGACCGATTCCAATGGCGATATGGTCCCAGCACCAGAAGTACCGAAATCCTGAGGAGACGAAATGTGTTTAGCATCCAGTAGCAGGGGTTCAGGACTGACAAAGCGAGCGTTTCTGCCACTGGCAGGCGCCAGGCTGTCAAGACCCTGATACGTCAAAATGCCAGGCTGGTTGGGTCGAGCGACAAATCGAGGTCGCAGGTGTCCACCACAGACACCAAGACTGACCGCCTCAGAGAGTGATTCGGTCTTAACGTCGCTAGCGAAGTCAACAAGTCTAAAAGGGTAATCGAAGCAGAAAAATAGACGCTACGTAATCTAGCAAATGAGCGGAGAAAAGGAGCAAATAGGAAAAAATAATAGTCATTTTTCGCGATTTTAAGGTAAACAGAGACCAAGCAGGGTCCTCCACATGCACGAACATTAATGATAAATTTATTAAGATGCGTTCACCCCATTTAGTTTAAGGTAATTGAGGACTGTTAGTTAAATTTTCCAACAATGACATGAATAGACCTTACGGTTACATTAAATTTCACGTAGCCCTGCTTTCCCAAAATTTATTTTTCATCCGGGCTAGTTTGGACTGTAGTTTCGACCTCGTCTAGGCCTTATCAACACCCACAGCGGGACTCGAACCATGACACTGCAGTGCGTAATCTTGACACGTTAACCCCTACGCCACATTGCCACGAGTTCTCTTGGCTCCCAGGGCAGATGTGAATTTCAAGGAAGGCCAGGCATTTTCGCATATCAAATTCTGTGGTGGAATTGTCGATAAAGCAAAGTTATACTTATTATAACAAAAGACAACATTATTAAGTTCTCGTTTATAAGTAGGGTTTTGAGACTAACAGTTGAATGCTATAGCAAATATAACTTTGTTTT